TCTTCAGGCCTCCTACATCACATCTGTACAACACGAGAATTACCTTGCACTGTGTCCTCTGGTTGGAAAACTACATGATCTGCGGTGTGCGTAATGTACCTACAGCTACAACACCGGAGTAGTTAAGATCGATTCCGTGTTTAACCGACAGAACCGGGTCGCAGCTAAGAAAGCGCTTTCACACCAATGGGGCTCTGGCCAGCAAACGGCACAAGAAACTATAACTAAAACACAGATCTTGTCCTCTGTACTCTATAGAGTATCGACACTAGTCTGTGACAGATCGGCTACACAATCAGCTAGTTTTGGGCTTCATGGGAGCTGTCTGGCTGCACTGCTAACACAACACAATACATGCCCTTCCCGGCGCTGACATTGTCGACAAAGTTCACGTCAGGTCACGCAAAAATGCAGACATAATAGCAGCTCGCAGATCGGATTTTTTAAAACACCTATTTGGCACATCCCGACACGTAAACGTGCCAACGTAATACTGGTTCACGGGTTTACAAACGCTTGGATTAGCACATCAAAACACACACAGCACAAACACACATCTCTGTGCTGGCCTGTCAGGTGTCAGCTGGCGACGAAAGCAAAAGAAACGCAAACACACTTTTCAATAACAGCCCGCCGCTTCCCAATTTTTTTTTTTTTTTCCATTTTCTGATTCTTCGGCAAAACAGATTCCAGACATTAGGAGTGTTTCAGCGTCTGGTAAATTGGTTATCCCGGACAGAGATTATCTGACGGTCTTATAACAACCTCACAGTAACCATAAACTGAATGAATGAATGAATTTCTACCCCACCAGGACATCACACAAGCGATAAACACCCGATGACACAAAGTGCCACCATGCGGATGAGGATCGCCGTGGAGAGGTCCCAGAAACCGCGTTCAGACATTTGGCCATATTTATGGCCTGCCTATATTGCGGCCCCTGGCAAAAGCCAGAGTAGGGCTTCAAATGACAAAAAATTTCGTCCTGAGAAGGACGAAACTGGATTAATATATATAACCATAAACTTTAAACGGGCCTTTTATATAGAGACACTGTGCCCTGTCCTTATTGTCTTAGACTCTTCCGGGCACGTATTGGACTTATAAGTCACCTCCGGACTCACAAACATTCAACTGTAGTTTTATGACTGATTAAAGAAAGAATGGGGTGCTTTATTAATACCCTGCCCCAAAAGGGGAAATCCACAGGTCACGGGACAGTCTAATATTTCAGGGGGTGGTAGATAGGCTGCATGCAGTTGCGGGGCCTAGGCTGCACTCTTTCGTGGGACGTAGGTGGGTTGGGGTTAGGGCCAGTTCTAGATGTTTTGGGGTCGTTAAAAGAACCAGAAAGCCGGAAAACCTAGTCTTTCCACCCTCTAAAATGTTAGACTGTTCTGCGACGTCATCTGGGGTGTGGGGGTAGGATATTAATAAAGCGCCAAGAGTAGTCATCATCACTTGGGATGGACAAACGAAGAAACGATAGTTAACCTCACGTTGACGAGAAAAACAATGGAACCTACCAATCAAATCTCTTTCTTAAATGTTTGTGAATTCTAGAAAAAACATTACGGTTTGCTGTGTTTGTAAATTGTTGCTGTGTTTATTATTCAACCTATGCTTCGTTAATATAAATTTCTGCAACCTATGTGCCATTTTCAGTGGTTTGAGATTAATTATGTCTGTATTCTGTAGTTGTGGATTTCAAGCTGTCCGATATATATGCTAGTTTGGACACTTTATTTAGGGTTACCTACTTTGCTATGTTCTTAGTACCCTTGTTTCCATAGCGAGACGCACACGCCATTTGGAGGTGACAGTTTAATTCCAAGCATGGTAACTATAGCTTTCAATTTTTAGGTTGTCTTGTGTGTCCTTCTATCTTTCTACTTCTTTCTATGAGTGCCAATCAGTACATTGTCTCTTTATTAACGTAGTGCTGATGTGATAAAAGGAGTCAGACCGCAGGTCAGACGTATAGGATGGCTAATACAGTCAGGAGAGCAGACGATGTAAACAGACGAGCACATATCGCTTTTTGTTGATGTGGTACGTGGGTAACAGTTTATCAGCCAAAACAACGACCTTCTTAGAAACTAAGCCAATTTTGTGATATTTTTCTTTTCTTTAATAGCTGCATCCGTGCCGTTAAACAAATAATTTAAGGTACAACTCACGTTTTTGGGCCAAAGAACACCGCGATTGGCCGTTCATTGGTGCATCTTAACCTTTCACACAGGCGACTTTCTCTTACAGGGGTGTCAGGTTGTATTCACCGCTGCGATCACGCCGACTTTCTTTTACAGGGATGTCAGGTTGTATTCACGGCTGCGATCACGTAGGTTCTATATTACAGAATGTCAGTGGTTTTAACGACCTCATAATATCCAGAACTGGCGCTAACACGCCCCCCCCCTCAACCTGCGTCACACAAGAGACTGCACTCTACAGAAGACAACCGGACACCCCTGCCACTTAAATTAAGGCATCTCAAACGTTAAGACGCATCAATGAACCTGAGCCCGAACACGTTAGTTGTTCCTAATTTATAGCAGTAAGCTGACGAGGGCTCGATAGCCGCAACGTTCGTTTCCTTACTCGTGAGTGTGTTATAGTTAAGCTGACATGTTCTACTGTCCATCTTTGTCGTTTATAAGTTTGGTTGTAACAAACAAGAAACAAGGAAACACAAACTATAGGTACTCTAAAGCCCAGAATAGAGACATCCAGTCATTGCACACCATATTAAACTGATGCTAAAAGGGTGGTTTTTACGAAGTACGGCCCAGCTACACTACTAGAAGTCTTACCTTAAACTTTGACCTCACCCCTAGAACAGAGCCGTCACCAACACACATCAGATGTGATTTTAGATACACGTAACGCTAGTCTCCCCACGCCCCGCCCATATACACACTAGCACACTTTTGACTGGTAGTTCCTGAACCTGTCACCTTGGCACAAGGTTACGGGGTGTTCAGCAATGCCGTTGATATCGCGTGTTGTATATGTCAGCACGCCAGCACTTTTAACACTCCAAAAACATGGAGAAACTGGCCCTAACACAACCCCCTAGAGAGTGCTGCAAACTATGTCATAGGCATTTTCTTTCTCGGAGTGAAAACGTTAAGTGCAAGACAACGCAGAAAGCAAAGAACAAAGCGGGGCACATCGGTAACCTTCGGGAAAATCAACCAGCCCAACAAACCTGTGAATGAAAAGTGACCTTCTCTATTTAGGGAGATTAACGTTACTTTAACCGTGATTTTAAACCCGCTTTCCTTTTTTTTAGCTCAATCACTTCAAAGCGAAATCTACAACTTTCACATCACCAATGCCTTTATCTTGAACTCTGACCTCGCCACTTGATCACAACTTTGACCTCACCAGCGCCTTGCTCTTCAACTCTCACCTGGACACTTGACCCTAACGTTGACTTTATCGATGTCTTGATCTTCAAAAGGAACATGTAACGAACTCAGGCCCAGCTTCACACTTATGAGTGACGAAGTCGGGCCAGGACACTCTGACTGGACGTTCATTCATTCGAGACGCTCAAGTTTAACTGGCATGGATGTCAGGTTGTCACGACTTTGTATTGTCGACGGTCTTAGCGACGACCACGCTTGCTCTAGATTACAGGATGTGAACGGTTTGATCCCTTGTGTGTATGTCTGACCTATGTGTGTATGTCTGACCCCTTGTGTGTATGTCTGACCCCTTGTGTGTATGTCTGACCCTTGTGTGTATGTCTGACCCCTTGTGTGTATGTCTGACCCTTGTGTGTATGTCTGACCCCTGTGTGTATGTCTGACCCCTTGTGTGTATGTCTGACCCTTGTGTGTATGTCTGACCCTTGTGTGTATGTCTGACCCTTGTGTGTATGTCTGACCCTTGTGTGTATGTCTGACCCCTGTGTGTATGTCTGACCCCTTGTGTGTATGTCTGACCCTTGTGTGTATGTCTGACCCCTTGTGTGTATGTCTGACCCCTTGTGTGTATGTCTGACCCTTGTGTGTATGTCTGACCCCTGTGTGTATGTCTGACCCCTTGTGTGTATGTCTGACCCTTGTGTGTATGTCTGACCCCTTGTGTGTATGTCTGACCCCTGTGTGTATGTCTGACCCCTGTGTGTATGTCTGACCCCTTGTGTGTATGTCTGACCCTGTGTGTATGTCTGACCCTTGTGTGTATGTCTGACCCTTGTGTGTATGTCTGACCCTTGTGTGTATGTCTGACCCCTGTGTGTATGTCTGACCCCTTGTGTGTATGTCTGACCCTTGTGTGTATGTCTGACCCCTTGTGTGTATGTCTGACCCTTGTGTGTATGTCTGACCCCTTGTGTGTATGTCTGACCCCTTGTGTGTATGTCTGACCTTGTGTGTATGTCTGACCCTTGTGTGTATGTCTGACCCCTGTGTGTGTACCCTTGTGTATGTCTGTGTGTGTGTATGTCTGACCCCTGTGTGTATGTCTGACCCTTGTGTGTATGTCTGACCCCTTGTGTGTATGTCTGACCCTTGTGTATGTATGTCTGACCCTTGTGTGTATGTGTGATGTGTGTGACCCTTGTGTGTATGTCTGACCCCTGTGTGTATGTCTGACCCCTGTGTGTGTATGTCTGACCCTTGTGTGTATGTCCTTGTGTGTATGTCTGACCCCTTGTGTGTATGTCTGACCCTTGTGTGTATGTCTGACCCCCTTGTGTGTATGTCTGACCCTTGTGTGTATGTGTGACCAGGTATTGTGTGTATTTCTGACCCCTTTGTACCTTGTGTATGTCTGACCCTTGTGTGTATGTCTGATTGGTCCTGGTATGTTTCACTTCATACCTATTCACCCTCTGCTCGTTCCTATGTTACACATGTTCTGGACTGAACAAGATACAACAGCACACTCAAGACAACCAGACAATTGTACATTCATCCTGTCAGAAATTATGCTCCAGCATTCAAGTAACCCTACCCTATCAATCCAGCATTATCACATACACACTACATCAATACAGCATTAGCGCATACACACCACATCAATACAGCATTATCACATACACACCACATCAATACAGCATTATCACATACACACCACATCAATACAGCATTAACACATACACACCAAATCAATACAGCATTATCACATACACACCACATCAATACAGCATTATCACATACACACCACATCAATACAGCATTATCACATACACACCACATCAATACAGCATTAGCACATACACACCACAACAATACAGCATTATCACATACACACCACATCAATACAGAATTAGCACATACACACCACATCAATACAGCATTAGCACATACACACCACATCAATACAGCATTATCACATACACACCACATCAATACAGCATTATCACATACACACCACATCAATCCAGCATTATCACATACACACCACATCAATACAGCATTATCACATACACACCACATCAATCCAGCATTATCACATACACACCACATCAATACAGCATTAGCGCATACACACCCCATCAATCCGGCATTATCACATACACACCACATCAATCCAGCATTATCACATACACACCACATCAATACAGCATTATCACATACACACCACATCAATACAGCATTATCACATACACACAACATCAATCCAGCATTATCACATACACACCACATCAATACAGCATTATCACATACACACCACATCAATCCAACATTAGCGCATACAAACCACAAGACTGTACAAATCATTTATGTAAAAGAACAACATATAGGCATATGAAGAAAACAAAATATTTAATGAGCACAACATATAAACTGTGTATAATATCAAAAAAAGAAATCTGCATATGGTGAAAATAACATATAAAATCTGCGTACATCAGTGCAAGACTAGCTCTGACATTTAAACAAAAAAGTGCCACATGTAATACTAGTATGCACTTAACTTTCTTGTTTAGTACTGGGTATAGTTAGCGAGAAAAGCAGTGAGAGAGTGAGTGATAGAGTGAGGGTGAAAGGCAGTGTAACAGAGATGGAGACAAAGGAAACGGGTAGAAGAGTACTAGAGAGTGGTAAAAGTGCGGGGAAGATGATAAAGACTGTGAGTGACATGGGGAACAGAAAAAAAAAGAGAGAATAAATGAAGAACTGATACAAGAAGCTTCAGATAAAGATGCAGGTTTAAGAGACAACAAATCAAGTGAGCAAAATTAAAATATAAAAATCTATAAAACAAGAAACAAACAGTGCTGCCAGAAAATCAAACAAATCAAAACAAGGTAGAAAAAATGTAGGTGTGTTGGGAAACGAGCAGGCTGACAGACTGGCTAGATGTTGTGAGGGCCCCTCACAGCACTTAGGACACTCCCAAAGCACTCCGTCATCATCTTGATTAGCAAGCAAAGAATTCCAGTTCTGACGGTACCAATAACTGTCTGACGGTATATTCATCTCACCTTTCCCCCAATCGTCTGGTGAAGTTGTGACAGGCCTAGCAAGCCGGCAATAGATTTATTATCGCTACAAAAAACACAATGAGATATAAACGGACTGATCAAACGGTATCTGACCATGGCTATGTTAAGGGACTACGAGACAGAAAAGCGAAATACAAGATTAGAGCAAGACGTAGACCAAGAACAAGATGGAAGGATAACATCAGAGAAGCTCTACAACAGCACAATGTGCCTATGGTCGAGGCGACCAGAATAGCCAGAAACAGAACCTTATATCTCCCTCGACACCCACAGCGGTAAAAGAGGAAGTGAAGAAGAAGAAGAAGAAGTTAAGCGTCGGCCAGATCCCCTAGTCACTCCACACAGCGCCATTCTCCTCAGACCGTAATGATCAATCTGTGCCTCCACACTGCTTACTCGCATCCAAAGGGCCCTTACAATATCTAGCTTGTCATATATCAAGTTCACCACCAAGTGATGCAGAACCGGCGAGTATTTCTGCCTGCTCATTTCCCAACACACCAGCATAACCTGGAGCAAATATCCAAAGGATGCTAACTACCAAAACATTTATTTAAAAATTCTGAAAAAGATAATTTTTTAACGATTTGTACAGGGTAAAAGGGTTGAAGTATGAGTCTAGCAGGTAAGCTGAGGGGAGTGGATTATTTTCTGTACTCAGCCATGAAGGATGTGGTAAGCCTTGAGAAGATGCCCCCTGTCACTCCAGAGATGACAGTTCATCAGTGACTGGGTCGCCCACTGGCTGGCCAGTAGATGACAGTTCATCAGTGTCTGGGTCGCCCATTGGCTGGCCAGTAGATGACAGTTCATCGGTGACTGGGTCGCCCATTGGCTGGCCAGTAGATGACAGTTCATCAGTGACTGGGTCGACCATTGGCTGGCCAGTAGATGACAGTTCATCAGTGACTGGGTCGACCATTGGCTGGCCAGTAGATGACAGTTCATCAGTGTCTGGGTCGACCATTGGCTGGCTAGTAGATGACAGTTCATCAGTGACTGGGTCGCCCATTGGCTGGCCAGTAGATGACAGTTCATCAGTGAGTGGGTCGCCCATTGGCTGGCCAGTAGATGACAGTTCATCAGTGAGTGGGTCGCCCATTGGCTGGCCAGTAGATGACAGTTCATCAGTGAGTGGGTCGCCCATTGGCTGGCCAGTAGATGACAGTTCATCAGTGACTGGGTCGCCCATTGGCTGGCCAGTAGATAACAGTTCATCAGTGACTGGGTCGCCTATTGGCTGGCCAGTAGATGACAGTTCATCAGTGACTGGGTCGCTCATTGGCTGGCCAGTAGATGACAGTTCATCAGTGACTGGGTCGCCCATTGGCTGGCCAGTAGATGACAGTTCATCAGTGAGTGGGTCGCCCATTGGCTGGCCAGTAGATGACAGTTCATCAGTGAGTGGGTCGCCCATTGGCTGGCCAGTAGATGACAGTTCATCAGTGAGTGGGTCGCCCATTGGCTGGCCAGTAGATGACAGTTCATCAGTGACTGGGTCGCCCATTGGCTGGCCAGTAGATAACAGTTCATCAGTGACTGGGTCGCCCATTGGCTGGCCAGTAGATGACAGTTCATCAGTGACTGGGTCGCTCATTGGCTGGCCAGTAGATGACAGTTCATCAGTGACTGGGTCGCCCATTGGCTGGCCAGTAGATGACAGTTCATCAGTGACTGGGTCGCTCATTGGCTGGCCAGTAGATGACAGTTCATCAGTGACTGGGTCGCCCATTGGCTGGCCAGTAGATAACAGTTCATCAGTGACTGGGTCGCCCATTGGCTGGCCAGTAGATAACAGTTCATCAGTGAGTGGGTCACCCATTGGCTGGCCAGTAGATGACAGTTCATCAGTGACTGGGTCGCTCATTGGCTGGCCAGTAGATAACAGTTCATCAGTGAGTGGGTCGCCCATTGGCTGGCCAGTAGATGACAGTTCATCAGTGACTGGGTCGCCCATTGGCTGGCCAGTAGATGACAGTTCATCAGTGACTGGGTCACCCACTGGCTGGCCAGTAGATGACAGTTCATCAGTGAGTGGGTCGCCCATTGGCTGGCCAGTAGATGACAGTTCATCAGTGACTGGGTCGCCCATTGGCTGGCCAGTAGATGACAGTTCATCAGTGACTGGGTCGCCCATTGGCTGGCCAGTAGATGACAGTTCATCAGTGAGTGGGTCGCCCATTGGCTGGCCAGTAGATGACAGTTCATCAGTGACTGGGTCGCCCATTGGCTGGCCAGTAGATGACAGTTCATCAGTGAGTGGGTCGCCCATTGGCTGGCCAGTAGATGACAGTTCATCAGTGTCTGGGTCGACCATTGGCTGGCCAGTAGATGACAGTTCATCAGTGACTAGGTCGCCCATTGGCTGGCCAGTAGATGACAGTTCATCAGTGACTGGGTCGCCCATTGGCTGGCCAGTAGATGACAGTTCATCAGTGACTGGGTCGCTCATTGGCTGGCCAGTAGATGACAGTTCATCAGTGACTGGGTCGCCCATTGGCTGGCCAGTAGATGACAGTTCATCAGTGACTGGGTCGCCCACTGGCTGGCCAGTAGATGACAGTTCATCAGTGACTGGGTCGCCCATTGGCTGGCCAGTAGATGACAGTTCATCAGTGACTGGGTCGCCAATTGGCTGGCCAGTAGATGACAGTTCATCACTGACTGGGTCGCCCATTGGCTGGCCAGTAGATGACAGTTCATCAGTGACTGGGTTGCTCATTGGCTGGCCAGGAGATGACAGTTCATCAGTGACTGGGTCGTCCATTGGCTGGCCAGTAGATGACAGTTCATCAGTGACTGGGTCGACCATTGGCTGGCCAGTAGATGACAGTTCATCAGTGACTGGGTCGCCCATTGGCTGGCCAGTAGATGACAGTTTATCAGTGACTGGGTCACCCAGTAAATTACTTTGTCACCGGTCGGGACAGTATCTGGGTCTGTCTCTCTTGGTGGCAAGCAGCTCTAAGCCATTTTATATGGTGCAAATAACCTAGTCACAATTATAACCTAAAGCTACCCCTTCGGGGATGCTAAGTGAATGTGACAATTTGTAATTTTTGTTGTTAAGCAAAGCAACAAAAGAAGACAGTTTCTAGAACTACAGGCAATCACTGATTGATACAGCAAGATCTCACGCAGCGAGACTCCATATGAAGTCTTCACCACCCACACCCACCTGGCAGACAAACCCAACAACTGAAACACACCATCAACCTATCCTCTGACAATAAATCTACTTTTATCTGCATCTGGTGACGTTTTATCACAACTTAAACTATCTCTGAATGTTATTTTTTTCAGAAAATGTAATGACTGACAAATGTGTGTGTGCGAGAACAGGAGAAAAAAACAGATTTTATCAGTATGAATGTGTGTTTACATATCAGTTTACTAATATAAAAAACACATAAAAACTACATCGTATTCAACCGAATAGGTGTGTTTATTGGTATTTCCGAATGTGAAAATCAATATTCGGTACAACACTAGTTATGAGACACGGCAGGTGCAATGTTATCAGACATGGTCAATGACGGGTGCAGATGTTTCTTTCACTCAATAACCCCAGAAACAGGTGCCAAAACGGGTGCAGATGTTATCTGACTGGCTATGAAAGTGCAGATTCCCTATGACATCACACTTCAAACATTCATGTTATACAGACACGGTCAATGACGGGTGCTGATATTATGCAGACCAGTACTGACTGGGAGCTGATGTTCCATCGACACAGAAAACGAAAAGAGTTGATGTTATGAGACACGGTCAATGACGGGTGCTGATGTTATGAGACACGGTCAATGACGGGTGCTGATGTTATGAGACACGGTCAATGACAGGTGCTGATGTTATGAGACACGGTCAATGACGGGTGCTGATGTTATCAGACACCGTCAATGACAGGCGCTGATGTTATCAGACACGGTCAATGACAGGCGCTGATGTTATCAGACACGGTCAATGACAGGCGCCGATGTTATCAGACACGGTTAATGACAGGCGCTGATGTTATCAGACACGGTCAATGACAGGCGCTGATGTTATCAGACACGGTCAATGACGAGTGCAGATGTT